AAAATAAATGTAAATAAATTTTTATAATTATTTAAACTAAATAAAATAATTGTATCTTTAAAATTATAATACATACCATGCAGTAGCATATTCACCTGCTGAATCAGTAACAAAGCTACACCAGTCAAAAAATGGCCATTAGACCTAAATTCAACCAGGTTGAATATAGGCCTAATGGTAATCTAATCTGTATCAAATTAAGGTCTATAGTTTTAGCGTGGTTAGGCTGCCAATAGTCTGATATTTGAACAGAATGTTCGACTAGCATTAGTAATATATTTAAAGTAAATTAATAAGTTATTCGATCTAATTTCATTATACTTTATATATACTATTATATATAGCAATAAAATTGTTTATATTGTATTATTTAATTATAATAATTGATATACATATATATATATTATTTATTATATATAATGAAACATTAATATTTGAATTAAATTCGAATAATAAAAAGCGATTAATAATTGCTATAATAATAATTTTCATTTAATTCGGTTAATTTTCTTTTTCCTTTTCGGTCAGTCGAATAAGTTCCCTAATTTTAAACATGACATGATAATAGAAATTGTTAGTTCTTAAATATAAAAATAATAAATTATTTGACTTAATTGAGATACAATTGTGGATGATTCACCCTTTTTATCGAAATCCATAGGTCGTATTTCGTCCATTAAAAAGTCTATTAGATAATCGTTACCGCTATTGTTAATATCAATTTTAGCATTAAAATTGTGGTCAATTTCATTAGTTTCATTTGTCCAGTCTATTTTGTATAAAAATTTGTTTTAACAGTCACCCATTCAAGTATATTTTCAGGCGTTTTATTTGAAGTAAAATATATTTCATCATTATAGATACGTTCTCATTATTTCTTTATATACTAAAACTGTTCGGATGCATGGTCTAATACGTCTCTAAGTAACGATTTTAACTATCAAAAACACAAAGATAAAAAGTGAAGTTGAATAAGTATTATTTAAATAAATGTATAATATATATTATAAAATAGTATTTACCTTTTCTGAGCGCTACAAATGGTTATAGACATGTAGAAAATTTTTTTCTCCCTGCTGCCTTATTCAATATTCGTCTTCGCTATCTGATTGTTAGGCGAATGGCATTCATTTTTTTGTAGAATTGACAATACTTCATTTTTGTTAAATTTTGAAACTTTTCTTCATTTGTGTTGAACAATTTAAATGCCATTTTTATTCGTCTATTTTTCTTTTGTCGAATATTATTCAGATTAATTATCAAACAACTGCATGTATAAAATAAATGAAATTAAAAGATTTTATTTAACTAAATAAATAATCACTTCAGAAAGTTGAGTGTTTGCATGTAACCTTCGATCGATCTTTTCTAATGCTCCGGTCTGTCATTTTCGCAATTGATCTCTTCTGTGTTTGTGAATAGCTTTGATCCAATTCAAAAGTTATGTCACAGAAGGGTTAAAAACTTCATCCATGAGCCTCTTTAATTCTGGAATCAGTTTTTCGTAAATGGTTGTTGATTGTTCAAAGAATGTCTTTTCATAATCCAGTTGATATTCAGCTAGTATCTGACCTTTCATCAGATTTTTCATCTCAGTCTATAACGAAATATCATATGTATTGTATAATAACTACAATTTGTCAAATCATAAGAAAATTCCTACTCTTGCTTTTTCAACATTCATTTCATTCAGTGATGCTGATCTTTTGTCTATAATTGGTGAAGGAATATTTCTTGAAACTCGATATTGACGATAACGTGTCAATTCGGCCTTTAATTCATTACTCTCGATCATTAATTTGTCATTTTCATTTCCAAATTTATCGTTAAACATCTAAAGCACGTTGTTATCTTCTTCAAACTGTTGAACCTGTCCTTCCAGGTTCCTAATTCTTTTATGAATTCAGCTTCTCTTTCTCGTTACTATTGGATTTCATTTTGCAGCCGATTGTTTCCTTTCTTAAATTCTCAATTTCTGAATTAACTGTTTAGATTATTTGATTCAATTTTTCAATTTTTATATTTAGGAGCATAGATGACGTGAAATTTGATGATGATACTGTATAGTTAATTTTTATAATTCACAATAAAATAGACTTATTTATTACCAGTTTGATGTTTATTATAACTATCAATCGATCTTGGAACTCTAATATTAGGATATCTTTGTTTGGTTAATTCTTCAGTTTGATGGGTTGGTATGGTTGTTGAATAAAAAGCTTGCGCAGTTGTTAGACATACTTATGCAGCTGTTGGATGAATTGGCGCAGTTGTTGGATGTGCTTGCGCAGCTGTTAGACAAACTGGCGCAGTTGTTAGACGAACTGGATGAACTGGTAAGGTTGTTATTGGATGAAATAGAACAGGTTGTTGACCTGGTGCCATTTGTAGAGTATTTGGAATTTTTGACCTAGAATAATAGACTCTCTTTGGTAGTTGAGACATATTGAATAATTTTTCTTTAAGAGAAATGTTATCGTTGTGAGAAAAAAGAAAAAAAATTTGTGATAGAAAGAGTTGACTACCTTTTATTTATACTTTTTTATTTTGCTATTAATCAAACTTCAATCAACCAAATCAATTAGTCAAAAAAATTAAACTTATATTCATCAATAAATCAATGAATTAGTCAAATTAATAAAATCAAACTTATATTCATCAATAAATCAATGAGTTAGTCAAATTAATTAAAGTTGATAAAATTAAACTTATATTCATCAATAAATTAACGAATTAGTCAAATTGAAATTAAAGTTAAATAGTATATATATATATATAACGTAAAATTTTATGTGGTAAATTTAATATAATAACTTTCACTACTCCATTTATCATTTTTATTAAGAATGAAAAGAAAACGTTTAGTCGCTAATATTTTAAAGGATAACCTAAGCTCTTCGAACCCAAATCTATCTTTTACAGAAGATGTTAAAATTACGACAAGAACACTAAGGTCAAAAGTTCAATGTCTTTGCAGCAAATGTAATGGAAAACTGGTCGATCCATACACAAAAAGGGTACATGAAATGAAGGCAAACGAGATATCGACATCTTCACCCATTAATATTTTACCAACTGAGACTCCAATGTCTCGATTATTAATTAAGCCATTTGATGAGAAACATTCGACACAATCAATAATCGACGAGAATGATGTGTTAGAAGAACTAATTGATGATGATAATATGTTAGAAGGACAAACTTTCACATTTCTTCTACGTAAAAGGAAAAGAACAGCAATCTTTCGATATGTAATCATGCTAAGTGGTAGTAATTTTGGAGGTGATTTCGATAATTCTGAAGATTCTGATAGTAATTCATCAACTGAAGATGATGAAAGCGATGTTAGAAATAATGCTGAATTTTCGAATAATTTCAAAGATTATTCCTATCCCATGTTCGACTTACCAACTGTCTCAGAACTACCAAAACAAAACTGAACTATATGGATTCTAATATGGATAATGAAGTTTAGGTCAAATTTTAAACTACCAGACATCACAACTGAGGCTCTAATAAAATTTATTAGAATTCTATTAGAAGAATGTGAAGGATCTGAATATGAATTATTTCCAAAATCCTTGTATCTGACAAGACAAACTTTAGGCCTAGTTGATCAATTTACATGTTTTGCAGCTTGTCAAAAATGTCACAAATTATATAAGAAGGATAATGTAACTAACATTCAGAATCAAACGATTATAAAATGTAGCCATGTAGAATTCCCTAATTCAGCTACAAAGTGATTCAAGCAATGTCAAACTCCTTTAGCAAAGCAGACTATTTTAAATAATAGCATATCATTCAAACCTGAATTAATTTATCCAGTTGCGAATATTCGACAGCAACTTTTCAGCATGTTTCTTAGACTGGAATTCGAAAAGTCATTATAACATTGGACTAATCGTTTACAACAAGACAATACCTTATCAGATATTTACGATGATCAGATATGGCGAAACTTCAAAGAATTGACTGATCAAGGATCAAACAAATTTTTTTGACCAGAGAAAGCTGATAATCACTTTGGATTAATCATTAATCTGGATTGGTTCCAACCGTATAAAGGTACAATTTATAGTACAGGAATGCTATATGCCGCAATATGTAATTTGCCACATAACATTCGGTTTTAACCTAAAAATATGCTTGTATTTGATATATTACCAGGGCCTAATAAGATTAGCCTGCACAAGATAAACTATTATCTTTCACCTATAGTTACAGAATTTGAGTCACTTTGGGAAAGAGTGACTCTAAATCACACACACGAATGTCCAAATGGTAAAAGTATCAGTGCTATTTTAATAATAGCTTCGTATAATATTCCTGCAGCACAAAATTTATGCGGACACATTTCTGCTCTTGTATCATGTCATCATTGTGAAAAAAAGGCAAATTATGTTAACAATCAATATAATTTCAGTGGTATAGCAGATATAGATAAATGGTTTATTACAAAAGATTCAACAATACATCGACAAAATGCTTCGAACTGGCGACGATATAAAAGTAATGCTGAATGATCTTGATTTGTCAAAGAAAATTGTATAATATGGTCCGAATTACTGCGCCTGCCATATTTTGATCCAATTAGATTCATTGTAGTAGATCCTATGCATTGCCTTTTTTAGGCATTGCTAAATGGATCATAAAAAAAATATGGATTGATGAAAATATACTAACACAAAATATCCTTTAATCAATCCAAAAGAAAATTAACGATTTTCAAGTACCAGCTGATTTGGGACGGATCCCTGGTAAAATTCATGATGGCAAAGGGTTTTCTAATTTTACGGCAGACCAATGGCGAAACCTTTTCTTGATATATGCTACTGTGGTACTATGGGATCACCTTCCACCCAAAGATCGAAAAATTCTTACTTATTTTGTCAGAGTATGTAGAATTCTAGTCAAACTAATTGTAGAAGTCGATGAAATAGTTGAAGCCCATAATGGTTTAATGAAAATCATAAATTAATCGAAGAGCATTATGGTGAAGGAAAAATAACGCTGAATCTTCACCTTTCGTTACATTTATGTGAATGCTCTTATGATTATAGTCTATTGTATTAGTTCTGGTGCTTTTCATTTAAACGAATGAATGACGTATTAGGTAATGTAATTAACTTGTTAATGTTTAATTTTCTGATTATTTATCATTTATTTTGCTTATTTTATTAAGATCATTGCCTAATAGTCAGCATTAAATTAAACCCGAACTGATGTGCTGATTGATAGCTGAAGCAAAGTAAACTATATTGCCAGTTCTAGTTTAGAAGTAAAAGGGCTTGAATTACTTGATAATTGATCATCTGTTGGGTCACTTTCTGATGCTGATGAATTTTCGACGGAAGAGATGTACTGATTCTTGATGAATTTGAAGAATATATTAGAATCACCGGTTACTGGTTGCGAAAATTTTTCAGGGAAATTTTTACAACCACGATTCGAAAATGTTCATCTTGAAAAGTCAATTCACAATTATCTTATCGAATATTACAGAGATATGTATATAAATTTGACATTTAAAAAGCCATTTATGAATGATTCACATGATTCGATAATAGTTAACATTAAGGTGAATTAATACGAAAGATGTTGAATTAGCGCTGAGATTTTTGAATCTGCCGATTCACCACAATATATTAAAAGTTCTTTTATTTTAGCTAAATTTATTAATCATGATGGGAGTGTTGATACTTACCCTAGCCAAATTCAATATTTCTTTGAACACAGCATTCGTATATTTTCTCAGAATTTAACACATAAACTGGCTTATGTTAGATGGTATAAAGTGGTTAATTCATTTTCAATTCAATTTTACTTTAGCTTTAATGATAATGCCAGGATTTGTAATGTCGAATTGTGGGAGAACAGCTTCTTCACGACCTGTAGAGACAGTATAATTCCAATACACAATGTTTTATGTCGATTCATATCTGTAAAATATAAAACATCAAATCGGTCTAATGCTAGGGAATACTTAGCAACTATACCACTAAATAGAAAGTTTCATTTGGGTTAAATGAATACAATATTTGACAAACATTTTTAATAAAGAAAAAATTTATTGACTAAAATTGTTACGAGATTATTTTTTATTGACTATTCTAAATTTATTTATTACATAACATTATTCAGCTATTATTCAACTATTATTTGACAAGATCTAATGCAAGTCTAATTGTAGATCATTACTAATTGAGACCGAATACTTTTGATTTTAGTCTAATATAGGCTGAACATTAATATGGCTGAATTTTTATTTTTTGACGAGTGTAATTATAAAGAGTTCTTTTTGTATTATTTTAATTATAAGTTTTGCTTATTATACAGACCCCGCTAAAAGTCTCTGAACACTATTTTTTAAGTGCAATTTTATATGGATAATGTCATATGACTTTATAATACTATAGTTATATGACGTTCTGAACTTTGTTTACATAAGTTAAACCTAATAAATGTGCGTTTAGTTTGTTTATTTTGACTTTAAATCAAAATAAACTTTAATCTTTTGAAAACAACGAAAATGACCCAAGAATTAACAGTAGAACAACACGCACTATATTTTTTTGCCGTCAATGTGGCGATATTTACTGAACTATTTCTGAGACTGTCAGTTGTGGAGTGTCAACAGTATTTGATACTTTAAAAAGGATAGATGACACTGGAACTACTAATTCAAAGTCTCGTTCTGGTCAATCACCTCTTATTGAACCTTCACAATAAAACTGACTCAAGCGACTTATAATCAATGATAAAGGAAAAAATCATTGTTTATGCATTGCAGAAGTTCAACAACTTTGGAAAAAAAAGACCAGCTAAGATGTTTCAGCTTACACTATTGGCTGGATACTTTGTGCAGTTAGGCTAAACAATTATCTTATTCAACGAAATCCTCTAATCTCACCAGCAAATATGGAGGCATGTCTTGTATAGTGTTTGGATCACCAAAGCTGGACAAAGGATGATTGGTCAAAAGTCATATGGAGTGACGAATCAACCTTTTCTCAATTCCAACAAAGCCGATGTAGTTGAGTGTGGTGGGAACCTCAAGAAAAGTGGAACATTTCTTGTGTTTCTGCTACAGTGAAACACAGCCATGGCTGAATATTTTGGGGATGCTTTTCAAGAAAAGGCTTGAGACCTATTGTTTCATTATTTGGAACAGCAAATGGTGCTTTACATGTTATCATCCTTCACAAGCACGTTATGCTAACTATAAGACATGCATTTTCAAATGGTAATGGTATATTCTAGAAGGATAATGCTCGCCTCCATAAAATGAAACTTACAAAGAAATTTTATGTGAAAAATAATCTGTGTGTACTTTCATGGCTAGCTCAAAATCCAGACCTTAATTCAATTGAGAATCTGTGGGCCGATGTCAAGAAAAGCATTCGTGAAAGGAAAAAAGCCTTCAAATCTTGCTGAACTCGACT